TTTTCGGTTCTTTTAGTCAAAAACCAAGTTATAACATCAATTTTGACTCCTTATATTCTGCTGAACCTATCTATCCATAAATTTACGTAGTTTTGATGTCGAGTTTCTCCAAAGTGGCTGACCACCTCTAGGCTACAAGCTTTGCGTTTTATTTTTGAATACACATTCGAAATTAGGGTTTTAACGACCTAACGTTTGCCGTGCAGGTCAGACTAAGTTACATATGGTATGAATTGATAGCTCTCTACGAGACCTGTCGAATGGTGTACGATATATCCGCTTTTAAAGCAACCTCGAGATCATTATAGCCTAAAACCTAGAGAACGAAACCTGCCGAAGTTTGTTGAGGTTTATCTCAGTCGCTACGCATGTGGTAGTCGGGAAATTTGGGTTATAGACTCAGAAAACAACGGAGAACAAGATGCGCTAATCAAATTTTGTTTAAAGTCATTTTCATTATTTTTCACCAATTGTACAATAAAGTTGCAAATGACTCATATATAGTTGTATTTTTCATGTATGATGTACAAGTTTTAGTGAATTAAGTAGACAAGATAGAAAATAATCAAGAAACTTTTATCACTCTAAACAAGCTCTAAATAGATAAGTATGCATCAAATGACGTCAATTTTTCTACCTCTTGTAGATACAATGATAACGCATTATTGGTAAAAAGAATGAAAGAATTGTCTTTCCATTTCGTTTTGAATATGTCACTGTCACAAACTGGTTTTTTTAGGCGAAATTTAAAATATCCCGTGATAACGTCAATCAAACGTTATTTGTGCACGACTAAAACAAATGCATTTGTGGAAGAGGCATCTGTTAGTCAAAGTGCAAAAGTACTCACTGATGGTGCATTCAGACGAAAAACGATCTATGGTTCGACTGTTGAGAGTACGTACGCTGGTGCTCTGTCATTTTTACGTCGAAATTATACCAGAAATTTGGAGAATGTGGAGATCGCAGTCACTGGGATACCATTAGATCTTGCAACCACATTTCGCCCGGGAACTCGATTTGGTCCAGCAGGTATTCGACAAGCATCATGTCAGTTGGCTGAACTGAAATCATATCCTGATGGAATCGATCTGTTTGAAGATTTAGCTGTTATTGATTATGGCGATTGTTATTTCGACCCATCTTTTCCGCATACAGTACCGGAGGCCATTGAGAATCATGCGTGGGAAATAATTAAACACAACGTATTTCTTTTTTCTTTAGGTTGGTATGAAACCTTTTTTTGTAGGTTAAACAAGTTCTTGATTGTATATTTATGTTAGGTGGTGATCATTATGGAACCTATCCGTTACTCAAAGCTCATGTCAAACATCACAAACGACCTCTTGCTTTAGTTCAATTCGATGCACATTGTGATACATGGAAAGACACAAAAGGTCTTAATCATGGCACAATGTTTTATCATGCTATTAAGGAAAATCTCATTGATCCTGAACATTCGATTCAAGTAGGAATTAGAACCTTTAATGATGATTTTATGGGAGTAAAAATACTTGATGCTGATTTTGTGCACAGTAATGGTCCTGCAAAAGTTGCGGAAGAGATTTTAGAGCGTGTGGGAAATCATAAATGTTATTTGACGTTTGATATCGACTGTCTCGATCCTGCTTTTGCGCCCGGTACTGGAACACCGGTTTCTGGTGGTCTTTCAACATATCAAGCTTTGTCTATATTACGCCAAATTAGAAAATTAGCGTTTGTTGGCGGAGATATTGTTGAAGTTTCACCTCCCTATGATAATTCCAGTATAACATCGTTAGCAGCAGCAACAATCGGTTATAATTTTTTGTGTTTGTTGAGAAATAAAAAGATTTTAGATAAAACATTTAATTTTGGTAATAGATTGAAGAAAGATGTTTAAATATATGTTAACTCTCATTTTATGTATTTCTGACACCCTATTAATTAAAATAGCCAATGAGAAACTGAATGTGTAAAAATCAATAACTTTTTCATTCTCCATCATTTGTTATTCTATAACTATCTAAATATAGAAAAGTTCAGTGTATAAGTGAGTAAGTAAATGTGTTTTGATTTTGATTTATCATTAATGTATTAACTATTTCGTATTACTTATTAACAAATACCATTCTTGAATGAAACTAGCCCAATTTCTATACATGGAGAAAATTCAGTGATGTATTTTTCTTTTCCTACTACTAGTCTATTGAAAATTAGTTGAGTACAGAGTTGTAATCGGTGATAGAGCTTATCATCGGCATTTTAAACTGACTGAAAGGTACAGGTAGGTTGCAGTTTGCAAGTGAATGAAAACTTTTTCCACTGGCGGCCGGCAGATAAAGAAGAATATTCATTCTTCTTTCCTACCGGCACTCCCTGCAGGGAAGAAGATTTTAGCTGTATTCACTGCAGGGAAAGACGTTTTTGTGTGGAGAACAAAAAGAGAGAGGTGACCAAGAGAAATGTTGATCACACTAAAGATTAGAATGATCTCTTAGCGAAAAGAAACTAACTAACAGTTTTTTTTGTATGTCTATTAGACATTTTAAGATCAATGTGTCCTTATGTCCCACATACAGATTTCTGTATGTGACATGAAAAAGAGATAAAACGCTCTACGCTAGTTTTACTATACGTAGCGCGCATGCGCACTATATAGAAGATGACAAAAGACTATAACGATAACAGAAAGAGAAAACTATAGAAGAGAATACAAGAATAGTGATTCGTAACTGGTCCGATACAGTCTATAATTATCAGTGTGTAATACAGACTGATAATGGTCGGTAGGAAAAAAAATTGTTATACCTCGTTTTAGGGTCGACCAGCAGGGCAGTGCAGAAGTTTTCACCCTCTTCCTGTGCAGAACAAAAGATTTTTTTCTAACCAGCAAACTGCAACGCGGGTAAATTTTATTTTATCCTGCACGGTGACTGCGCAGGGGTGAAAAATTATGTAGGTGATCAGCTCTGAACCGGCCCAGTTGAAATTGTTAACCGGTCGGTTTTTTACAGGTTCAACTTCACAAGAGAAATAATGTGTTTTGTCTCAAATAAAATAGTTTCTTGTTATCGAACACTATTTGTTGTTTGGTAGAAAAAGATCTTTCACCAGTCGATTTTTCGCCGGTTGAAAAAGTTTTGGAAAATACTCAACCGGTTACAATTCTGGTTGAGTATTTTTGTAATGGTGCAGACTAATGTCAGCAAAGTGGTATCTGTAAGTGCATAGAAAAGTAAAGATCATAACGAGCTATTTCCGTCAGCTTGTAAAATTCCTATTGGACATCACGCATCGTTGATAGTTTATGTATCAATATCTGTAATGTATCTTCGAGTTGTGAGTTTACGATCTGGTTTATTCGCGCAAACCTTTAAGGGCAGCATCTCATTGATTTCTATTACACACCTTGTTAGCTTCCATGGACTGTTAGTGTTCGATTTTTGACTTGACCTGGACAGTGGCAGATGAGGAAACTCGATCTAGAAATCTGAATCGTGATTTCAGTGTGTGCCCCAGATAAAGAAGGGTAATACAAAGGTCGAAACGATTTAAAAATAATTAAATTACTGGAGTAGTTCTCATGGATAGCACTATCGTTGAATTTGTACGACTTAACAAGATAAAGTAATTTAAGTGCCTGAATTATTTGCGAAAAATCCCAGGAACGTTGAGTAAAACTTGCGAGAGTGCTTCGACAAGTATTCATCAGTACGCTAGGAAAACATTGTTACTAATATATAATGAGCCTGGCGTGTTTTTTGAATCAGGAATAGGCACATGACTTACGACTTGTGAACGATTGCCTCAGTTCGACGACATATGATGTCCATTACGCAGCAATGTTATCAAAAATGATGGTAGAATCACATACATCAAGACCTTTATGAACAAGAAAAAATTTGCAACACAGACTACGATGAAAGATGCAGAATCAATTACTGTAGTGCATTCTCTGAACGGTGATTAGTCACATTAGTGTAAAAAGTTCAATTCCATACCACATCTTGTGCAATCAAAATCAAATATTTAATCTCCAGCGCAAAATGTTACAGTAATCTTTAAAATATACAGTCTCTTAGTCATTCGACTGTATGATACATCAGAAATATATTTATTTGAAATTGCGCTAACTATATGTAATAAATTACCTCGCTTAATTTTATTGCATATATTTTAAAAAGAAAAGAAAGAACCATAAAAGCCATAAATTCACCTCAGAACTATGATATTCGACCTAACAATAAACAATCATTGTACTTCAATTTTTATAAGCTTTATTCTGTCAGAATACAAACGGAAAAATATTGATTTAAACTTTATTCGAAACTTCTAAGACAAAGTGTGCGATCGACAGCTGTGCTGTCATTGTAGGCACGACTATAACGTGAAATGAAATATATCCATTAAAAAAAATGGAAAAATATTCCATTATAGTATTTTAAACTAAAACTATCGAAAAATATAAAATCAATTTTTGTACAAGTAGAGATTCAACCACGAACTTAGTTTTGCAGTAAACTGCAAGTTGCACTCCAATTGTACCTTTCAATAAATTATCCATATCCCTTAATAAAAAACAAAGAAATTCCTGAGGAGGATTTAAAAATGGAGCGGTGATATGTGCAATTAACATGACAGGTGAAAGAGGCCTACCACTATTAGAGAGAGAAAGAGAGTGACTAGGATAGAACAGAAGGAAAGCAAAGCATAAAACACTAAAAATATGTATTTTAGTATCAACTTTACATTTGGGCTAAATTATCCAAAAGTAAACCTGAGATGTTCGATTCTCCTCCTGTGCGCTGCTACAGTGTGTTCTACCCCTACTGCGCAACCCATACAGCTTATAACCTTGGGCTTCAAACGCGGTCATCCATCACCGTATTAACCAAAGCCGGTATACTCTGTGATGAGTCAGAAGACACAGTAGATGTTTACAGAGTAGAGATACATGGTACAGTACCGAGAGGATGAAACAAGTATAGATACCATATACGCAGAATAGAAAAGCTATAGATATTTTGTAGAGATCTGTGCAGGATAGCTGTTTGTTGAACCCTACTCCCTGATATCGAAGCCCTGGCTTCTATAGGGTAGGGTAGAGCCATTTAGTCAAACTCTTCGCAATATAAAAAATACTCAACAACAAGACATAAAGTGGATAAAGCCGATAACAATTATTTTTCTTTCACTCATTATTCCGGATGATATGCTTTATACTTTTATATATTCAGCAAAAGTGATAAGAATTTTGTATGACTCTTCAGTTATTTTTGCTCTATGGCTGTAATGGTATCTGATAGTAACTAAGACAACCTTTTTTTATTATAGTTAGTATTAAATGGGTGTTTTGTTTGACAAACTTTGTCTCAGTATAATCTGCGATATATCAATCGTTTACAAGAAGTTATTATTTCTAGATTTTATCAAAGTTTGTCTAGATTATTGATGTAAGTGATTTAATTCAGTACTTGGATAGCTAAAAAGAGTATACTTCTCCGGTAAATGTATTACAAATTACTACACAGGTTTTACGAAATGACAATAAATTTTCGGTTTTCGCAAACCTATTTTCGAAATTTATCCCTAAGGTAAGATTTTGGTGTCAAACGATATAGAATTTTGCCTCGATTTCATTCATATGTTATTTTAAACACAAGCATGTATATGTAAATTCTGATATACCATGATAACCTTCGAAGTTTTGCATGTACCAATACAGTACTAAAAACTAAGCACAAAACAAAGTTTTTGATTTTGTGTAGGCTACAACAATTGCTTGTTTATTTCCGTTTGGTGTCATTTCCTCTTATGAAAGACGTCTTTTTGATGTTTTATACTTTACAAAGTAGAAACTTCTTTTTACTTGTTTTTTATACTCTTACTGCGAAAAACTGCATCTTTTTTTAAGCCTAACGTCGACTTCTTACAAAACGTTGAACCGGGTAAAAAAATGTATTTCAAAATTTTCTAATTTTTCGCTTCGCAGTAGAAAATTTTGGAGCTTCCAGTGCAGAGATGTTGCGATCTTCACAGTTCTGGGCGGAGATCAACGGATTCTAAGGCCCTCATAGAAATACTATGGAAAACGTTTTCTTTCTCTTTTGCTGTAAAAAAAAGCAATAAGTTTTGAATTATTGAGAGGAGATCATCCCGAAGACTCTCCCTGGTCACGACAGTTCTGTTCCAGTATTTCTGCTATCTCAAAAGAACAAACGGTACGGTACGTAGGCTCTATTTTAACAGCCAGTTGCTGTTTGACAAATCATTGTTGTTTTTAAAACAACGTATGAATGAAAGTGAGACAAAACTGTCTCATATTTTGACACCAGAATCAAACTCTTACATTAAGCATAAGTCACTAAAATAGGTTTGCAAAAATTTATGAGATAACGAACCATGTGTTATCTCATAACTGAAACTATCATTAACGAACGGCAAAATCACTTAATGAAATACTTGCTTATGCCTTGTATAAGAGAGTCATTGTAGGCAATGAATATTTAATCTCTGTTCCAGAAATGGATACATCAGGCAATGAGGAGATGAAATCAAATTTCTTTGGTGTTGATCCTAATCAACATACCGATAGAGGCCGTAAGGTATCAACTCCCAGCATTGATGATGGTGGTGGTGTGCACCCGACAACTAACGGTTTCGGTAGTGGTAGACGTAGACAACAACAACAACAACAACAACAACAACAACAACAACAACAACGACAACAAGAACCAGTAGATGCAAATAGTCGTTCACTCGAAGGACTGTCGAGAGATTTTGGTTTTTTGTTAAATAATCCAAGTACCAGTGACTGTTATTTAGATGTACGAGGTTTGTACAATGACTTGAAACTTCGTTAAATTTTTTTTGATAAAACTATCTGAATAATGTGTCGGGTTCAGGAACGTATATGGCAGTGCACAAATGTATTTTGGCCGCAAGATCGTCGGTATTTGCAGGTTAAATGATCACTCAGATTAAATAATCAGGTGACTGTCAGTTTCAATGTGTATTTTTCAGCTGCTATTGATCAAGAATATAACACACGTGATGATAGAACAAAAGCTCAGTTAGAAACAGAGGAGTACGGTGGAAAAATTAAAATTTTTATTAGACATACGGATCCACAAATAATGAAAGAAGTTGTCATATTTCTGTATACGGCGAAATGTGATTTAGAACGTGGAACAATAGATCATGGTAAGTTAACTTCATAATTTTCATAATTGATTTCATCTGTGTTTCACGACTAGCAATGCTCTTGTTGGATGCTGCTGGACGGTATGATATTAAAGATTTAAAAGTTCATACTGGCAAATGTAAGTCAAAGAATGACTAAGAATGTATAGAAATATAAATGTGCCTACAAACGTATTATAGACTTATCAAAACGAATTCATTCAAATAATGTATTGCAGTTATTGAAAGCTGCCCATAAATATAAAAATAAATTAGTTAGACAGAATTGCATTCAGTTTTTTATTCAAAATGCTAAAGATATAATGGACATGCAAGAATCATGGGTATGTAATTCCAATTCTAAAAAACTATGTGTTATTAATTTCTATGTTATTGTTTTAGAAAAAATTTGCTGAAGAAGAGAAAGAACTCGTCTCTGAATTACTTTATTGGACGGTGAATAAAGATTTATTTTATGAAGGTCAACCAAAATGGGAGCTGCAATCAAATTGGTGATGAATAATATCGATTCTACCATTAACTTATGTTTTTCTTACTTATTTTTTTATTATGAACTGGAACATTATAGGCGATCTTATTCGTTTGCTTAACAATATTTAAATAAAATAGATTTACCGCTGCTAATATCAATAGATGAACAATTATTCTCTTTATATAGACCTAAAACAGAGTATAAAAAAACAGTCGAACAAACTAGAAATTTTTAAAAAAGTAACAATGAAATAATGAAAAAATACACCGGAATATATTCTAAGAAAGGTTTTTTTTTTAAAAAGATTCTTCTGGATTGTGTATGAACAAATATCGAGTATAAATAAAGAAAATTCAAATAGGTAGATGAACTTGACCATAAAAGTCAATTTCATCGTCAAATGCTCCATGTTCTTCTTCGCCATCAAGCTAAAATGAAAAAGAAAATAAAAACAAAAGAAAAAATTGATTTCATTGATTATTTGTTTTCTATTAAATTCAAAAATTCAAAATTTCGTGCCTCATTTAATTCACGTTCAGTAAATATCCATGTTAAACACCATCTACGACATGGTACAAGTAAAACAAGTACAAAGGGAAATAAAAATGCAAATTCGGTAATCTTAATACCAATTAATAGAAAAGCGGCAATCAACTGAATAAATGTATATACATTTCGCTTTAATTGACGAATCTAAAGTCAAATAAGATAGATCTTAAATGTTTTAGTTTAATTTTTTATTGTCTATGAATAACTCACTCGTCTTAAGTATCCCACATTTGGATAATATTTAGTTGGAATGAACATCATTTTTAATCGACTGAATAATTGAGTACCAGATATGGATACAATTCCAAAATAGAGAAATATGCCAAATAAAGCTGCAACAGGTATTTTTCTTATAATAGGAGCAGCAAAGATGGTAGCACCTAAATAAAATATAAAAAAATTATAAATTCAAATGTATAAATCAGAAAAAAATAATTATTCACCAATAAGTAAGTGTACACCAATATTTGTCAGTCGTTGATCTGTAATATCAATCAGACGCGCTTTTTCACCAGGAGCATGTGTTTTGCTAAATTTTGAAAGACTAGCAATATGAGCAATACTTCGAACGGGAGCAGCACATATCCATGGTAATCCTAATAAACCGTTAATCGATACTAATAGTCCTAAAATTAGTCATACTCTTATATAGAATTTAATAACGAAAAAAAAAGAAGATTTTAAATAATACCTGCAATTAAAATATCCAAATGATATCCAGTTCCTTTTATCAATTTCGTTGAATAGGCATATTTTAACTTCGATTGTATCATTATGCTAGAAATATGGAATTATAGTGGTAGCATATGACAACAGCAGTATAGTGATTGAATGTGAAGAAATACCTAGTTAATTCAACTTCAAAAAATAACACAACACAAATAAGAACGGCCGGGAATGATGACGCAAAATAGACCCAAAATGGTAACAATTTTCGAAATGGACTAATTAGCCAACTATTACCACGTTCTTTATCGCTTGGGCGAATAGAATCAGGAACAGATATTTTCTATATGGAAAAGAAAAACGTTTTAACATAGATATTAACATCAACTAAAACAAGAATAAGATATATTACTTGTGTTAAACTATAGCCACCAGCACTTTTAGTTATTAAATGATCAACAAGCACCATACATACAAGCGCAATTGACATACCGAAATCGCTTAAAGTACGCCTTGACTAAAATAGGGATAAAAAAATATATATGATGTACAATACATGAATATTTTTAGAACATTTGTTAAACAGAATTCAAATTCACTTGTTCATATTTACACTAAACTTATGCGCATTCAATAGCATTTAGAATCAAATACATAAACAGTGAGAAAAATCGAGTCAATTAATAATATTATTACCGTCCTTCCGAAAAATTTACTTCGACGAAATCTCTTAAGTGCCAGAGCGATAAAACATGTTCCAAGTAAAATAATGAGAGATAATAATGCTTTATTTGGCTGTTGTGGTATATCATAGAAATTTGTACCATTTAATTTCGATAAATATGTTAACGATTTATTCGATAAACAATCATTACATGCATATTTTAACGAATTATATAAAATTGTCGTATTACTAGTCAAAAATGATGATGATGATGTAGTGGTGGATAATTGACCTAATGAAGAAGAGAGAACGTCCAGCGTCAAAGTTGTTTCATTGAATAATAACGACGATTTATTACATGAACAATATAGTGGATAATCATTGTATTTTCCTAATACTGGATTCGCTTTAAAAATCTAACGAATTAAAATTTTTATTAGGCAATATCACTTTGTAGGAAAATACTCTTACTTTGTGTAATTTTTTAACTGGTTCGTACAGATAAACAACAGCAATTATAAAAGCAAATATTTCTTCTGTAAAACGTGAAACATATCGAATCATAAAACTTCCTTCAAATGCCACAAGTATAATAATAAAAAATGTTGTCCAAAGACTTACACAACAGCGAACAGTCCAAAAATCACAATTTAATGATTTACAAAGCTAAATCATAAAATATACGTCAGTTCATTACAGATAATTTTATGAGCTATCAAAATACTTACATCGTAGACCATTTCTTCGAAAACTAAAAATGGTCCAGTTGGTCCTAGAATCAGTAACGGTTGACCACTTAGCAGTCCAAATAATAAACCATTTAAAGACGATGCCAATAACATTTCGCTCACACCCAATTTGTTATTTGTTTTATCAGCTTTAGAAAAGTATAGATCAATTTATTAATCTATATCTTCTTATGTATAATTGACAAAAAATACCTATAATTCCTCCAAATGTCAGCGCCGGCGCTAAACAAGCGATGAACATGAACACTAAACTAATTATACAATGTAATCCCAATGCATCGACTATATCCGATTTATAATTTCGATATCGTCGACGCATTTCTCGCCATACACCACCAAATATGTAGCCACTTCGAATAAATGGATCCTCATCTTGTTTCTCTTTATCAATAGACGGGTGAGCTAAAGACAAAGAATTTTTCAATTTATATTCATATACTTTTCTCTGTCTATAGAAAGTAACAATTATTACATTCCTCTATCGTATTTAAGAGACGCTTCGCGAGGCAACCGAGTATTTTGTCCAAGTGCAATAACATGTAAAAAATTAACATACGGTTTTTATTTTTGTTTTATTTTCGGATTCTCCTCGTAAAGTGGTTATGAAAACAATTCTTGACCTCCAGACCTTTATTCCACTGATTTATGGAATTTACAAAATGAGGACCATCGAAGGATCTGAAAAATGTCCTGTCTTGAGTATTTTCTCGATAACTCCGTCAAAATTTATTCGTTCTGTTCACGGAATGTCTCATTCGATAGCCCATGTAAAACTGTACAAAATCTTTAGGTATGTTCACTTTTTAAAATCGAAAATGATTTTTAAAAGCGCGGATCAAGTGAACGATTATGGTTTGCTAAAGTGAATTTTTTCAAGTGAAGCCTAATTTTTGGCATCCTCCGAATATCACTAGATGTTTGAAGGTGACATCAGATAGCAAATTCAATTCTCTACAAAATGAGCCAAAAAACTCTGTTCCAGAACCTTGGGAGCATGTTCAAACTTTCAGGAAAAGACAGCGGATCAACACTAACTTTTCTGTATTTTGGGAGTTTTGACTTCAAAACTGGTGATATTCGAAATTAGCGTCAAAAACTACATCGATTGATGTAACTTAGAAGTTATCTGGACAAAATTAATTTTTTAGCAAATACTAGGAGTTATTCATTGCATGAGAAAAACAACAAGTCATGCTCAATCGACGTCTCAGAATTGCTTCTAACTACTATCCATTTCAATGAACAATGCACTCCGTTATAAGCTGAATAACTCCGGATAGGAAGCAGCTAGAGACCTGCGGTTTTCAACATTCGAAAGAGAGTAATACTTTTTATATAGAAATGTCGAAAGCTGATTGGTCAATAATTGCCCAATCAGGTGAGTTTTCGCTTGACATATTGGGCACTGCCTAGCGAAAAGATTCCCTGTTGGATTTGAATTTCTCGATTTCGGCCAGCTGACCTTGGATCACTCCAAAAAACCTCGAAACATGGGTAATCGACCATGCTGAGTCGAGTGGCGATGTTTTTCAGTTTTGAAGCGAATTAATTCGCTAGATTAAACTTTTTTGAAATAACAACTTAATGCACCGCATCGCGCGACATAACGTCCGAATATAAAATTTCCGAAATATTCCGTTTAATGATTTCAGTCGCTTTGAAACTGAAAATAAGCATCATGACTCGACTCAGCATGGTCGATTACCTATATTTCGAGGTTTTTGGAGTGATCCATGGTCAGCTGGCCGAAATCGAGGCTCTCAGGAAAATGCTTATAGTTCCTGAACAGCACAAACTAAAGAGCTGGGCCTTGTGTATATCAATAGAGAACAATTTTCTCTATCGAATGGTTGTATTAGAATTTCAAATCCAAGAGGGAATCTTTTCGCTAGGCAGTGCCCAATATGTCAAGCGAAAACTCACCTGATTGGGCAATTATTGACCAATTAGCTTTCGACATTTCTATATAAAAAGTATTACTCTCTTTCGAATGTTGAAAACCGCAGGTCTCTAGCTGCTTCCTATCCGGAGTTATTCAACTTATAACGGAGTGCATTGTTCATTGAAATGGGTAGTAGTCCGATCTTGTTCAGCATATGTGAAGACCTATAAATCCAAATTTTGAGCTTTCTAGAAGTTTTACTTTCTGTGTTCTGGACGGTTTTCCAGAGTCCGCTCGATGGAAACATAAGTGTCTAAAAAATGGAGGGCAGAAATAAAGATTCTGTTTCTCCGCGAAGACATGTGATGGAACAGGGAATTTTTCATCCTGTGTGGTCCGTTGCATGGTCTATCCGATAATGCGATCAGATCGTTATTACCTCGGACCTTCAGCCCGACAGCGAAGATCTTCTGAGGATCTTAGAAGCTCATATTGTATGACGCCGTTTTCGAGCGTGTGGCTTAAGTATAAAACGAGATGCACTTTTTCATAGACATCCAAGTGTGGACTATCCAAATCCGGTCTCAAAAGTTCTGAACAAATGAGTTATCACTCATACTTTCTAAGCCATAAAGTTAATAACCCAAAAATTAGGTTTTTGTGGTAAACCATTTTTACTTGAACAACTGTTATTTTTTCACCTTTTTAAAATAATTGCTGAAATTATGCGCAATACCTCATTTTGTTCAGAATTTTGTGCTCTTTCCAATTATGTAGTTTAAAAGCTTTTTAGGGAAATTTAAGAGGTTTTTACAAAAATGCCCCCAAAGGTAGGCCTAAAGTTTTTGTACAATTTTACATGGGCTATCGAATGAGACATTCCGTGAACAGAACGAATAAATTTTGACGGAGTTATAGAAAAAATACTCAAGACAGGACATTTTTCAGATCCTTCGATGGTCCTCATTTTGTAAATTCCATAACTCACGAGGTAAGGCTCCCAACTATCCCACCGCTTTTGGACATAATCTTAGTGGACTATAAGTAATCAAGGGTGCTGATATCGAATACCACAATGAATTTTGCGTACGAACTCTCCAACGGAGCGTCAAATAGCAGAACATTTAGTCGACACAATATCTTCACTGTCAAACTGTGGAAAAGTTTATTATGAGGAAGAGACAACTTTAGATCTCGGTAATATGTCGGATGAGTACGATAGCGAGGAGGAAGAAAGTGCCGAAGACGAGTCAACTGATGTTGGGAGTAGTGAACAAGCAGATCCGAACTGGGAGAACGAAGAAATTGCATTAGAAAAATATAGTAAGTTATCCGTTAACTACGTCCTTTGATAGTTTCCGTTCTCTTGCCACATCTTTTGGTTTTGGACACACAATCTTTGTTCTATTCATTTCACATGAGGACAAAACCGTGCATATCAAATTCAAAACAAAGAAAAGAAAATCGCAGAATTTAACTGTAGATCTGTTCTGGATATTTCAGACTTAAAACAGTACTCTGTGGATTTAATGCGTAAAGTCGTTGCCTATGCTGATAAACGAACGAATCGGGTAAACGTGGTCGCACATGGAATTCCATTCATAAAAGGTTTAGAACAATCCCAGACAGACATTATGTCGACAGATTTCGACTATATTTATAGTACCATGGCACAAAGAAACAAAAAACACAGAATGTGGACGAGTTAGTTTATAAACAGTTCGTTGAAGCTAGAGCAAAAAGTCTTGTTGTGCATGACTTGGATATACAAAGGTGGGGTTTGAAAATCGGTAAAGAATTGCAATTGGACGACTTCCATACCTCACATCGTTGGCTCGAAAACTTTAAAGCCCGGCATAAATTAGTATCTCGTCGAGTAACAAACATTATTTCTCATCATCAAGTTGAAACAAATGATGAACTTGAAAAATCAAAAAAGGACTTCATTTCAGAGTTCTACAAACATTCAGTGCATTTCACTCCCTCAGCAATTCTGAATACAGATCAGACAGGTGTTGAAAAAGAATTGCAGTCGACACGTACTATATCCTTTTCCGGCGAAAAGAAAACTTTTGCAGCGGTACAGTCGAAAAATGCCGCCACTCATTCCTACACATTAAGCAGGTAAGTTACAAGTAAGTTAGTTACTAGTCCTATTTTGTTTTCAGTTTTGAGAAAGCATATTCTCTGTGTTTCAGGAAAAATAGGTGAACAAGTGAAAAAGCACTTGTTTGAGCCCAAAAATGTTGTAATTACCTGTTCATCTTCCGAAAAACTAACCACGTCCTTGGATCCTTCCGCGCAGGTTCGCCCACTTTATACAGAGCATCTTGCCGCGAAAATTTCACTTGGCCCATCGTGTAGAACATCAAAAATAATCTACAGGTCTCGCTTACGCTGTTTTAAAAAAACGTGTGAAAAGTGGTTTTCTAGATACCTCAAGTTGTATAGTGCTCTGGAACATTATAGGCGATCTTATCCGTTTGCTTAACAATATTTAAATAAAATAGATTTACCGCTGCTAATATCAATAGATGAACAATTATTCTCTTTATATAGACCTAAAACAGAGTATAAAAAAACAGTCGAACAAACTAGAAATTTTTAAAAAAGTAACAATGAAATAATGAAAAAATACACCGGAATATATTCTAAGAAAGGTTTTTTTTAAAAAAGATATAACTATAAGTTAAAAAGATACTACTATCCTCGACACTTTCCATTTTACACCCCCTGGTTTTCAGAAAATCGGTTAAAATCCTACTTCATGAAAAGAAAATTGAGCTATTATGACTCTATATTTCTGTTCAGCATAAAGAATTCAATGTACTTCAACGTTTCCTGAGGCTTCTTTGTGTTTCCGTACCGCAGTTTTCTAAGAGGATTTCTGGAAAACTGAGGGTGAAAAATGGGAAGTGTCGAGGATAGTTGTATGAGCAAAGTTATAGATCCTACTAAGTAGTTCCAATCCTGAAAAAATCTCGAAAAATTTTCGGAGCGTTTAGAAGAAAATCGAGGTCAAACTTCAGTAATTTTTCAAGTAAATTGAGTACCACTCGAATGTAAAGTTAGATCGAGACCGAATTTCTTCACCATTAGAATCAACTGGTGAACAGCTGCAATTTGATGTATAATTATACAATGTTTCCTTCATTTTCACCGATTTCGGTTTCACCTTCACCAAAAACTTGAGGTGTCTAGAAAACCACTTTTCACACGTTTTTCAAAACAGCGTAAGCGAGACCTGTAGATTATTTTTGATGTTCTACACGATTGGCAAAGTTAAATTTTCGCGGTAAGATGCTCTGTGTAAAGTGGGCGGATCTGTGTGGAAGCATCCCCTTAGTTAATTACTGGAGAGATCACTGTTTATTGCCTCTGATTGGAGACAAGTGTTTGCTACTTTCCGATAGCTATCCAGGACAATGTCAAAAGGAAACTTATGAACCGAAAAATTGTTTTGGTAAGAAAATTGAACGTTTGGAAATACCTAAAAATACCACGAATGACCTACAACCACTCGACTGTTATTTCAACAGACAAAGAAAGAATTTCTTGAAAGATGTTACAATCAAGTAGCTTTGGATGAGCTGGATGTTCCCTTGCATCAACGTAATAATATAATTCAATTAGTTAGTCTACTGCACAATTAGTTGAGTGCGGTGGTTTTTGAACCAGTGATAAAATACAGTTGGTTTGCTAGTGGACTTGCAAAAGACGATCCATCACCTTTCAAAAGTGTTATTGACGTTTTTTTTCCACGTGCAAATACACATGAAGAGTGTCAGGAATCGAACTGTGGTGAATCGATGTTTATTACTTGCGCTAGATGTTCGAGAAAATTCTGTTTTCAGCATTTTTTTGTCAGTTACCATTACCATTGAGATCAGAGTAAGTATATGTGTTCATGCAAACATAAAAAACGGGTTTTAAACTTACCATCTCTCTTTTAGGAAGAGGCGATCGCGTAAAGATACTGATTTGGAAACAAGAGTGGGCAATTCACAGTATTTTGGAGAACAGGAGCAGATTTAAAGCGGGTTTTTCCATTTTTTTGTGTTTTTTTGGCTTCTACTTCTGAGTACCACTCCAGTAAAAAGGCAAACGAAATAGTTTAGTAAAAGTTTTGGAAGTAAAAATGGTGTAAAACGCTGAATATTAAAAAATCTGTTTTAGCGGTATCTGACGTTTTTCCCGAGGAAATTCACTCGAAAACGTTTTAAAAACCTTGAAAAGTAGTTTTTTGTAGGTTTGGCTGATATGCTCTTTCATCTGGCTGGATCAGAAAAAATTTGAGTGAAAACTTTTTTGGCCTGGAAAACTGGTTTAGCAAAAACAAGGGTTTCTGGAGGTCCATACGCAAAAATAATTGTGATATTCAGAATCAGCACCCTTGATTACCTATAGTCCACCAAGGTTTAGTCCAAAAGCGGTGGGACAGTTGGGGGTCTGTCTTCCCTCGTCAGTGGAATAAGGGTCTGGAGGTCAAGAATCTTTTTCATAACCACTTTACGAGGAGAATCCGAAAATAAAATAAAAATAAAAACCGTATGTTAATTTTTTTCATGTTACTGCACTTCTTGATAGGTTGGCGAATCCTCTCTTAACAGTTCGTTATAAAATACTTACGATGTTCAAGTTGTTTATCAGCGGCATTTTGGATTTGATTTCGAGCATAACATTTTTTCACTTGAATTTTCTTTAATCTAGCCGTTTCAATAACAGGCAGCAGTAATTCTTTGTCAAAATTACCTGGCGGCAGTACAATTGAATCAGATAAAAAATCATTAATTCCATTTAAAAGATCTCGTCTATCCATAGCTTGATATGCTACATCTCGGAATTCCTATAAGAAAAAAATTTCAAAGAAGAATTATTTCTAAAAGTTCTTACTTTTATAGCTTACCCTGTTACTAAACAATGTACTAAGTGATCGTCCAATTTCAATATATTCATCAATGGGGCCAATTAAGAGAAACAGAAATTTTAATGGTAGTTGTACTTCGGTAACTCCTTCTAAACAATAAAAATATGCGAGTACAAAAATGTCATCTATCTTTCTATTCTAACCCATCACAAATCCTTTGGATAGTCTAACAAAAGCCATGATTGGTCTTGTCAAATTCCTCATACTTCCAATTAATACTTCGGCACATTCAGCATTATCTGGTATTCGTCTCATAAGATCAGACTACAAAAAGAGTATTAATCAAACACATAAATAACACACAATAGCTCAAATACTTTATAGGCTGCTTGATCTCTATTTTTTCGATCGAATCTTCCCATGTGAGCTTGTGATGCTCGATGTTGTTGAGTTGATGCAGGCGGTGATAGCTGTTGTTCTTGAGTAATCTTTTCACCCTTGCGATGAAGTTGTTTTTCATCTAATTCATCGGTTTTTGTATGAACATTCGTTACAACTGATTCGTCGATATTATCATATTTTACTAATAAACTCTTAAAGTTTTTATTCAATTCACCATTTGATTTTACTTCAGATGAACTCATTCGACGTGGAGTATCGAGATGGATGATATCGTTCTACAATTCATTATTTATTATTAAAAGTTCAAAGTAAAAAATATCATCAGTGAATGTACCTTTCTGAACGCTAAACTAGACCGCCGTCCTGATAGTTGGGGAAAATCAATTGTTGATGATCGTCGACGAAATGCCGAAAATGAAAAAGATTCTGGATGTTTATGATCCACTATCAATATTTTATGTAATTCATCTTTAACATCTTTGTTCAATTGTCCGTTGGCAATAGCATCATTGATTATCGAATTATAAATACATTCAATTTTTTGTTCTTCAAGGTCTAACAGAACTATTCCTATGAACATTAATAAAATGATGAACAATTTGATGATAAGCAGATAAAACTTACCATACTGGAGACCCCGTCTTAATTCAAGTAAACTATGGAATGAGAGACATCCGACGCGTGGTGCTTGCCATTTTTCCAATTCTTTATCGTATTCTTCTTCGTATCGAATCCACCTAGATGATAATGAAAAAAGTAGAAGAGAAGAGCACAGGAGGAGAGCTTCATTTACTTTCATAACAAACCTTGCACATTCATGCCAATGATATTCATTCTTTTCATCCAGTCGTAATTCTTGTAATTCAATGAATAATTCATTTGGCGTATGATCAACAGACTTAATAAACACAAAACTATACTACGAATTCTTGATATTCTCATCTTTCTTATATACCTGTCGACCAGTATGTGCTCGTTTATAACTTGCTCGATGTCCAGACAGTGTTCGTCTTTTAGGTAGATGACCGCCAGGTGGTAATAGAGAATTTGCATTTGACGCTGTATTCGGCAATATCGGTGAGCCAGGACATGAATTTGGTGAGGAAAAATCTGATAAATACAAAGAATCAGTATTTTAATAAAGTGACAGACGAAGTTTGCAATCTAAATGAATTGAATGAACCCAAAAAAAGTCGATCTGCAAAGATTCTACAATGCAGATGTGCTCAGATTTGGCCAAAGGTCTAATACAGACTTGTAAAAAAATCTTTATAGTTTTTTTGCAGGTTCTTTACAGAAAAACTGCAGATTCTTCAGTGCGCTGTGGGACTGTGGGATATATATTTATTTCATAAATTTCAAATGTTTTAACACAAATATACAAATAAAAAAAAACTGCAAAAATCTGCAGTTTCTCTGCAAAGAAACTGCAAAGAAATTGTAAAGATTTTTTGCAGATCTGCATCAGGTCTTTGGTCAAATCTTGGTACATCTGTAATGCAGATCTGCTTCAAATCTGCAGAGACCCTTTGCAGAATCTGCAAAGTTACTGCAAAGATTTTTGCAGATTTATGTTGCAGAAAATTCATGTGGAAATGCTTACCTTTAAAGCTTATGTTATCCATGTTAATAGAAAATGGAAATTTCGTTTTCGTTTTTTCCTGTTTCGTTCGATTGACGTTGGACGATAATAGTTCCTCATCTGTGGTAACGATGATGAGTGGCACACTGTTACAACTAAAATTATAATAACAACAGTGATAATGTTCATATTCAGTACTCGATAAGAAGAGTGGAGTGGAAGAAGAGGTCTAACCGACGCAAACATCCGGCTGAAAAATTCAAAGAAAACGAATAAAGTTTTATGTTATCATGGTTGACAAAGAGCTGTGAGCCTGATTACAAATGATATAGAAAAAGAAAGAGAGAACGTCACAAATCTATCATTTTCATTTTTTTCCAACATCCGTTAGTGTTTACACGCGTTTCATCTACTTTTAGATTATGAATGCATCAACGAAAAAAAACCTAATAATATGTGTTATATATATATGTCTTTTTAAATCAATTTCATCTTCTTCTGTCCGAAATCAACGATCTAAGTACATTAAGTTAAAAATAAATATACATCTTTCGATAATAACAATCACGTGTACAAATATTATACGAGGTTAAAAAACAAAATGTATTTTTTTCGCATTTATTTCTGATATATAAGATTATCTAAGTTGAAGTTAATAGGTGACACCTTGAACAAGAACAAAGAAAAAATTCTCAGTTATCGTTTACATATTATTTAGCGAGAGATATTTGATATCATTGAGTGTGAGGGAAATCTCATATTTATATCATAGATTTACTAACACGTATTTTAGTGATAATAATTTGATAGTTTTACAACGAAACATCTTCAAAAACTAAGATGATTGGATAAATGAGAGTGAGTCTCTCTGTACAATTCAGTATATTCAGTCTAAAATGGATTTTTGACTATCATTTGATCTTTCTAAATTACTTCAGAATACACGAAGGAGGTGCTACACAAAAACTTATATATTTTTTCATCGTTATCTCATATTTGTGATGAGTTGACGATATCTATTTTCTTCTGTCACCCTGTCGAATATCTATTTTTTTCTATCACTCTGTCCTTCATTAATTTAGTTTGACCAGACGATAAAATCTTATTTCTGTTGAAGACAGTACAAATCCCAAATGAGTGAGAAAAACTAACTCGTTCAGAATAAGAACAGAAAGAGCGACGGAGTGCTAGAGTTAATGATGTTATTCAACTTAAAAAAGACGTATCTATCTAACGTATTGATGATGAGAAGTTCGTTAAATATTCTAAATGTGATTTGGCATGCAATCGATAAATAAGAGAGAGGGAGAGAGAGAGAGGATCAGCTATGTGAATTAACTTGTTGTAACAAAAAAATACAGAGAAATGAAGTAAAACTACAGAAGCTAATCGCATCTGACACATGCTTTTTTTTATGATTTATGAAAAACATCTATTGACATAAATATATTTGTAATAAATCAAACAAACAAACAATTCTTTTGGAATGGCAGTGTCTTTACAGATGGGAGCAAGAGAGAGAGAGAGAGAGAGGGTTTCCAAACATATCTTTTTTTTCTCTTTTATGTCTAACAAGAAAAAAGAAAAAAGAAAAATAGAAGTGGATCCGTTAACAAACCGATTGATTTTATTAGAAATATTAGAAAAGAAGTTGTCGTCAATCTAATTACAGTGCTATCATGGTCACGATTTGCAAAGAAATAGAGAGAAAAAAGGATTTAGTATATAATACTAAAATTCAATATGTGAATTAGTTAGATGACATACATATGTTAAATATTTGCTTTTATTATCAAATAGACTAACTATTCAGTCAATAGAGAATTTATAGCTATTAGATAGAAACAGATGAAAATGAATGTTTGTTATTAAACAACAATTGTTTGTAGCAGTATTTTATCTAATATGACAGATTTAAAAATTGTCTGTATTTTACCTTAATTTTTATTAAATTTCATAGAGAAAATATGATTTAGAATAACATTAAGAAATCTACTATAAATATGCAAATATTATGCAAGTTCTATATAAAAAATAACATTTTTCTACAATTTTATGATATTTCAAATAATATTGTTCTATATTAGTAGAATACATTGAGAATATGTGATAAAAAAATAATTTGTTGACAGTTAAATAGTTTCAACTTACTTATGGTCTTCCGTTATTTACAAATAGTACAAGCTTATTTTTTGAATGAGAATGAAAAAAAAGAAAAAGCTTTTTGATTTTCCTATATTTTATCGTCTCTTGTGCTAATAGAAATAATGTTCTTTGGAGACTACACTAGAATTTCATGTGATCTATTTGTACACTAAATGGCTCTCATGTACAAGGCTATGATAGTTTAGATATATTTGTACATTTGTCTTTTCTGATATACGTGAAAAATCATTCTAACAGTCGCTAAACTTGTGAATATTTGTTGGCAGCAGGCATTTATCACAACTGGATAGTTTAGATCATTCTTTATACAATCCTTGCAACATTTTTTCCATTTTACTGTTCACATTTCAAATCTTAAAACTTTTCTTTTGACCAACACACTGTTAAAATGTTGATTATCTGTACAAACAGTCACTAACAAGATGAAAGTCATTCTATTGTATATGTATTCTCAACTTTTATCGAAACACTAAATCATTTGATATAAAATAGTCATGGAATCCATTTCAGAAAATCCATTTCCAGAAATAAAAGAACTTAGAGATTTTCTTATTTAAAATTAATTCAATACAAATGTAAACTACGAATTATAGATGATATCTTACTTTTTTAGAGTATGGCTTCTACATGCTCTATTATTCAAAAAGTTTTAATGCCTGAATGATTTCCTCGAATATCGATTACTTCAACCATGTATTTATAAAATGTCTTCTCCTACGTCGATAAAATGCAAGATAACTTGTCGATGGCTTTTCTTAAACATAAAACATGAAATTTTTACTGAAAAAAAAGACTATCAGGAAATTGTCTGAATTTTCCACTCAATTTACTTGACATTAAAAAAAAAGCAGAAAAGCGAGAGGAGTCAATTTTATGTGAAACAACACAAGAAAAACAATAGCTAGTATCATGTTTCAATAATCAAAATAAAACTATAATTCGCATTGTAGATATTTATCACGAACGATCGAAATAGTTTGTATTTGTGTCTGATTGTAGCAAAAAAGAAAATTTTGGAAAACCTACCATCTGAATCGAACTAACTTGAATATTATTATTATTATCTTGTTCTTTCTCTTGTCTTTTTTTATTGTTTTTAAATATTTCTATCTACTACAATGAATATCATGGAATAATTTCCGTATATGGAATTGTTTGATTGTGCTCCATTTCTCGTTTTTGTTTTCTCTTGTCTTTCTTTTTATTTTTTTCTTGACATTTCTAATTATATATATCTTCTATATAGCAATATGTTTTACTTTTTTTTTCTTATTTTATATATTTGATTATTTTCTCCATTAAAAATGTGGTTTTCTCACCCAGTTCATTTTACCGGAACGAACATACACACACACACACACGCACACACACACATACATTGTCGTTCTTCTTTTGATTTTAAATGTATTTTTTTAATTTTCTTTTTTATCCTTTTAAAACAAAATTAGTTGAGATATTAAATTTATTAAGCGATAGTCATGAAATAAGACAAGATAAAAATAAAATATTTGATAGATGTACATTAACAATAACACTATGGTATTGATATCGCTTAAGGGTGAACAAGAAATTTTCTTATGAAAGTATGATGTAGAAATATTTCTTGATTCTATTCACCTGTTTTGTATGTCTCATAAATTATTCTTTTCCATAGTAGAAAAAAAGTTCTTGCTGATATTTCTTTCTCTCATCACTCTTATGACATGTACTATTCATCTTTTCTTTTTAATATATTTTTATTACTTATTACAATAGAATGTCTGTTTTCCTGTTCTCTCTCGTTTAGGAACAGAAATAAATGTAATCGTGCATAGAGAATACACATGACTACTGTGAATCATTAACAATTTGATCATCACCACTTACTTATTTGTTGTTGTTGTTGCTGTTGTTGGTAATGTTTCAAGATTTTCTTCCTCCGTTGTCTGATTCGTTTCTTCGGATATATATCGGGAACGAGTTGAACTATCTTCCGGTTCTTCTAAAATTAAATATAGAAAAATATGTTTATTTTGTGATTGATTTAAACCATCGTACTTGTTTTATAAATATTTTCTTTCACATGAATATTGGAAAAATTATTTTTATCAAAGAAACACAATCTTATTCTCATTTAAAATGTATCCCAAAATAACACACGTGACAATCCACATAAAGAATTTATTTGTTATCTAAAGTTAAAAATTCGCGAAAAAAGAAAGATAAAAAAGATCTTGATATAAAAGTGCAAATTAACTCTTTTCATCGCAATTTCTAATTAAAATAATATTATTATGCAATATCTAGTTTGATAGTGTATAACACTCAAGTAAATTGGAATCTCGTCCACTAACACATTGAGAAATGATTATATGGAAGACTTTAAATGAGTTTTATTACATCATTAACAGTTAAACAAGTATTATTTAACTGAAAAAGTATTGAAAACTTATGCAACTAGTTTTATTACAGAAATTTAGAAAGAAGAACGATCTCTAGTTAAAATATGTCATGATATATGTATCCTAGACCAAAATAAAAGATGCGTAACACCTTGCTGTAGATTACCGATTTTCTCTATCTTCAGCGACAAAGAACGAATCAATGCATACCATTCTCTCTGGCAGATTCTGTGAAAGAAGAGATAAACTTATCTAAGACGTTGCCAACCAGATTATGAACGACATTTAAACATTTCAGAGTGAATACACGTACAGTAGTTGATGTTAATTAAATTAAAATACGAATCGAAGAATAAATAAATCTTAACATCTTCTACAATTCGACTATTTTCGGCTTTAACAAACATCGCTAAAAACATGATGTCGTACACTTGACCATGTAAAAAAACAATTTGTCACTTAACATTATTCAATTTTGCTAACTATTTTCCAAATAAGCCGTATGATCAATAAACTACTTTAATCATGTATCTGTTTACCTACCATATTTAGAAGTCAAAATTTTCCAACAGGTCATTATTCAACATCAAGATTTGATCGAGAGAAACAGAGAAAAACATTCTAATAAGAAAATATCTCTCTAATTTTCATTCATAAATCGTCCATATCATTTATTGGATGTTCTTTAATATCCTCATATAAAAAAGTTTTCCTATTCTCTTTTTAAGAAATCAATTGACGTATAGACATATGTTATCGACTGGCATGCTATCTAACATTATATCATCAAACTATAGTATCTAACCAAGTGTACTCCACTTGTATACTTATATTTTTCATAGATATGTTCCTTGGATAAATAATAAATAATCAAATACATATAGCACAAATACATATATCTACCTAACATTGGTGATAATCCACAATTATATACACAAAAATCTTGAGACTTCATAATATTAGATGTTACTGTCGTATAAAAAAACATCAATGTGCAATTCTGAGTTTGTCTTACAACTGAATTTCCTACTCTAATCAATTTTTATGAAATGTCAAAATAATCTTAAAAATTTATATAAAAAAAAGATGAAATATATACGCTCGTTCAATTATTCATTACATTATATTTTTCCCCGATTTATAACATTTAATGCTTATATGTATGCGATTGCTGACAACAATAATACCCTACAGACAACTCTCGTTTCTTACTCTTGAACTACGATAAGCGTCGTTATTTGACTTTTTTCTTCTTTATTATGTCATCGTACTCTAGATTGAATAAACATCCTTTAACGTGTTTTGAAGAGATAAACTGACAATAAAAATTAAAACATGAGTGGAATCGCATTTGTACAGCCGCCTTCTTTATGGAATAATTAAACAAGGTAACAGACAGAAACTTTGTTGCATATTTTTATTTGATGTTCGCACCATACAAAAAATAAATTAACGGCATATCATCGGAAAAAAAATAAAATTGGTTTCACTTGCTGAAAAGTACTTTTTCGTATTCAGCACACTCGATAACCCAGAAGATTTTATATTTTGACGAAGGGTTCTACTAAAACTTTAGGAAAAGTTGTCAAACTAATATTATTTTTCCATGGAAATTGTTCTGCGCTATTTTGTTTGAAAATTTTTTCTAAACTTTTGGAAGGATTTCTCACCAATAATAGAAAATTTTCTGGGTTATCGAGTGTGTTGAATACAACACGAAAAACACACTTTTCAGTAATTCAAAACTAACTTTATTTTTTTTGTTCCGGTGAAATGCACTCTAAGATGAAAAATTTCTATAATTTTAAAATTGGTCATTTACCAAAAAGGCATTTGACGAGCTGACAGCGTAGTCAATCAGAAGTGCTGTGTATGAAAGTTTTGTCGAAATAGTCTAGAACCAAGACTCTGTGAAACCGATACCATCGATAATAACCTAACGAGACTCCAACTGTCTGATCGCTTTCTGGTCGAAACCTAGTGTGTTATAGGTTATCGACCGCGCTGATTCCGAATATCCATATGACACGGGCCGCTAGACCTTCGTAGAGCGATTTTCCAGTAGAGTGGAGAAATCGCGAAAAGTCCCTAAAACTTTCTTTTAACAGATCACGACTGTAGTCCACGAAATTCTGATTAAAATGAGACATGATCCACCTCTACATGACCTTTCTTTGCAAAGTTATACACTTTACAAGAAAAGTCCTAAATGTTCATTGTCAGCTCAAAACCACAGAAATAAGAAGAAATTAATTTAGGGCTTTTCTTGTAAAGTGTATAATTTTGCAAAGAAAGGTCATGTAGAGGTGGACCATGTCTCATTTTAATCAGAATTTCGTGGGCTACAGTCGTGATATGTTAAAAGAAAATTTTAGGGACTTTTAGAGATTTCTGCACTCCACAGGAAAACTGCTCTACGAAGGTCTAGCGGCCCGTG